AAATCATCGTACATTCGAGCAGATCAATGCAGACTGCTATTACATAAGTAAAAATTAATCTAGATTTGTAAAGTGCAATCGAAAGTATTTAATAACTGTTTCTGAGATATGAATGTTTCACATAAGTATAATGTGTTGAGTGAATTCTGGCGCAAAGAGACCATACTTTAAGCTTTAAAAAAAATGTCGAGCGTTTCTAATTGATTATTTCTAAACATTCGCATTACTTACTTATTATATAATTTGTACGTGTTGATCATGAACTTAATAATAGATTATTAACATTCAGTGCTATATTCATGAAAATAATAAAACAAGCATTAAAATAAATCATTGTAAAGACAAAATTCTATCGTACGTTTTATGCTAGGAAGACAGTTCTATAATTAATCACATTACTTATTAAACACGCATTTACTGTTGACATATAAACGGAACTTTCGAATTTCTCTTTATGTACATCGTTCTGTTCATTGATCAATAGTTCTTACCCAACGTATGATACACCATGCTTTCTAGAATTTCTATTTTCTAGTCATGGTTGGTTTTGTTCATTCATACATCTTAATGATTTATTTTTCAATCTTGTTTGTTAATAGAAATTCACAACGCATCTACCGCCCCTTTTTGATATCACTCAATGGTGTTTACTTCTTTTGCTTTCTCTCTCAATGTAAATTGAGTTTGTCTTTGTTTTATATTCAGGTGAGGACTTCAGTGCACGTTGATAAAATGAAAATAAGTTCGGAAGGTGTAGTTATTTAGCCTTTCAAAGAGCAGAATGAAACTAAAGTGAGGTGAAATTTGATTATATACACATACATGTAAAACGTGTTGATTATGTTCTTAAGAGAAATGCAGATACTAATTGTTTTGATATCTATGCTAATCTGCGTTACCAGAGCAATAGATTCACAGTTTTACACAGTCTTCAAGCCACATGACGGTAAATATCCATGTTATCGTCAAGTAAGTACTATGTAATATTGACTATACTTTTCGAATAAAAATAATCCAATAGCCAGCCATTGTGACTACTAATCAAGAGCGAACACATTTGATGGTATTTGCCGAAGGTCGATTTGTCACTAGTTGTGCACCACCTTTGGAAAATAGAGTCGAGAGAGACAATCGTCCCAATGAAGATGGTGGTTTAGAGATTCGTCGCTCGGAAGATAGCGGATCTACTTGGCTTTCTGCACAAACAGTGTATACAGGAAACATCGATTTCTACACTGTAGTTTGGGACAGTACATCTAACACAGTTTACTTGATGTTACAGGCATCTTCATCAGTTCTTCTGTTTATTTCACACGATGAAGTACGTTTTTTGACAAATAATACAATAATTTTGTGATTTATTTATTCTCCTATAGGGAATAACATGGTCAGATCCAACGCCTTTAAATGTGTTTCCTCCTCCACCTTTTAGTAAATCAATCAAACCTGCTGTTGGTCACGGAATTGAGGTATGACATTTTGATGATTGATATATTGATTAATGATTTATATTCTAGATCATCGGCTCATTATGTGGACGAGAGAATTGTTCTGACGCTGGAACGTTGTTGGTACAGCGAATACAAGAAATATTCACTCTTTTCACTTATAATTTACTGCTTTTGTAGATGCCATTTGTGTGTACTAATGGATCAAGCCATACAGGTGATAATGGTTCATGTCCTAGTTGTTATGCATGTGTTTTAAAAAGCGAAATGCCTGAGAAAAATCAGAATCGACAATGGAATTTTACAGGAATAGCACAGCAGTATACGCGTGAATCACAACTCGTACAAACGATCAATATGGATGCGGGCGCTTCATATATTTATTTGAATGGTCGAAACTTTTCTCCTGTTCCAGGACATCGTTACTTTGCACGTTCTACAAATGGTGCTGACCAGTTTACTGAATTTGGAATTGACTCATCGTTAATAGAACCTGTTACCAAAGCATGGACTGGAGTAGTTTGTTCGATTGAACGAAAATCCATAAATCCCAGTCGTATTCTTTTCAGTGGTCCAGCCAATGCGACAGTACGTTCTAATTTAACTCTTCGACTTTCGTATGATGAAGCTCATTCATGGTCAATTTCTCGCATATTATTCTCTGGACTTAGTGGCTACTCTGATATAGCAGTCGTCGGTGATGGAAAGAATGTTGCCTTAGTTTTTGAAAATGGTGAAGAGACATTTGCAGATCGAATTTCTGTTGCCATTGTTCCTGTATCATGGATTGAGAATAATAAAAAAAATGGCAACAAAAAACTTTAGATTTAGAGAGTACCATGTCTATTGTACTAATTAGATACTTCAGCTTTGATTATATCTAATAATTATTAGAATAAAAGACAATAAATAGAAAATATAAAATTTTCAATATGAAATGTGTCGATTTTATTTGTGCTTCTCTTTATAGCATTCATCATTATTTTTGACAAAAGTCCAATATATAATTCTAGAAAAATCTGAGCTATATATTCTTTTATTCCGTATTCATTTAATTTTCTTCAAAAAAAAAACGAAAGGAGTCAGTTGTATGGTAACTAAATCACTTCTGTTTTGTGATGAGACGTATCTAAATATTCATAAAAAACAATTTTTCACAATAGATTGACAATCATTTTTTCTCTACTTACATCATTTCGAAGATCTTTAATTGCTGCTTTGAATTCATTGCGTAACTGAATAATTGCATCTTTCTCTTTTTTAGTAATACTACTATTACTAGATAATTCAATATCGTCAATAGATCTTATTCCACTTGTACTAGATTCTTGTAAAGACGTTTCATTCTCCGTAGTTATTCTAAAAAACAAAAAGAGTATCATAGAAAAAAAAAAACTTTGACTTTCATTTCTGTTGACCTTTTGATTTTGGCCAATGCTTCACGTTGAGCATAAGCATAAGTTGATGCACCTTCAAATTCTTGCCAAGCAAGTTCAAGTTCTGGTTGAACAGCAATTACTTCTAAAATAATAATAAAACAAAACAATAAAATTTACGATATCTTCTATGAAAAAAGAAAATACGTACTAAACACTCGTTCTGATGGATTAGCATAATTGTAACGCACTCGAAGATACCATTGATAAAACATTTTCATCAAAGCTATAATATCAAATATAGTACTAAAAGGAATAAATAACGGTGGTCGATCATAATATTCTCGAACAACCGAATA